CTATAAAATTTCATTCTCTTAAATAGTTTTAACACCTTACAAGTGTTCTTTTTACCTAAAACTACCAACATCTCATTAAACTGTAATTTCTTTGGCTGGCTGCTCCAACTGTAGCCACTTTACAACTACCTTCTGCCTCTGCTGCTGTACACGTTTATATATCTTTTTCTTGACAAAAAAAAAGAAACACGGTGGAGGAGCAGGAGGATCGGGTGGAGGAGCAAGTTTCGAGTTTTTATTCTCAAAGTGGAAGAGCTAAAATCTCATTATCTAAAGTCGTTAGTCTTGGCGCGCACTTTAAGTGGGAGTCACCGAGACAAGCTACTTGAAAATTTATGCCATTAAAACTGCAATGGCAGAACATTCTTTTCATAAAATCGCGCTTTTATATTCATACTTTGTGTATATTATTTAAAATGGGTTTGAAATTAACTTTTGTAATAGAAGATCTGGTAGAAATATACGAAACTGTGCAAGATGGCATTTAATTAAGACCCGTATAGAAATGATCTCATCGAGAGCAAATGACAAACAGTTTGGGCGTAACAGACTTCTGTTGCATTTGTACGGATTTACACCCTAGTCGCGCCTAAAGAAGTTTTACTTCAAAAAAATCAAGCATCGGAAAAATAAGGTATTTTTACGATGTTTTTTAGAGAACATGAACCATATTAAACAGAGAAAGAGCTTCAAATTGTTAATAGTTGTCAAGCAGTGCTTCAAAGATTTAAGACAGCACAATAATACATATACCATATACATTATTTATGTATACACGTTACTCCACCTCATATGCGGGTGAAGATCTCTCCACCGTCTCCGTCTCTAAGTTTTCCAAGAAGCCAGAAGCAGTAGGCAGGCATTCAGGCATTGTCCAAAGTCTCTCTCGGAAACTCTCTCTCAAGTTGTACAGCAACCAGGGAGCAATGAGCTGCTCCTCTCCTAAAGTTGTTGTTGACTCAGAGAACTTTAGGAGCAGAATATATATGGCATGTGTGACGCAGGTGTTTATGTGTGTCTCTTGATGATGATGATATGTGGTTAAATTAGCAGAACTGGGTATCAAGATGGGGTATTAAATTTGTAGACAGTATCCAGTTTATGGTCTAACAATTTTATCTAATTTAGTGAATAAAATATAATTTTCCTCCACCTGACTGTCCTTATTATGTACCTGTTCGAGATTTTATAACTCCACCGACAACAAGAAAGGAAAGTTTTGGAAAGTTGGAACTTTCCTCAAGTCCACATATCTTTTCTGTTCTATCTCGTTTCTCTTCTCGACTTCATATTTATTTTTGCGCGGTAAAACTTTAATCGTTTGGCAGCTATAATGTTAGCTGCGATAATAATGCGGCATCCTCGTATCTTACATGTACCACCTCTCTATAGAACTATAGAACTATAGAATTGAAGAACTTTGAGGGAATAATAGAAGTGTGATGGAGATCGGGGGTGATGTGTAAGGAAAAATGATTTTTTGCTGGTTTGTACAAGATTTTATGGGGATATCTCCATATGTATGCTGATATTATTTGATGAAAAAATATTATATAAATTTCGATTTTTTTTTGTCATTGATCCAAAGCTATTCTAGAGACTCCAAAGCTATTCTAGTGACTCCAGAATTACTCTAGACACTCCAGAATCACTATAGAGGCTCGAAAATCACTCTAGAGACTCCAGAATTATTATAACGGATTCAAAGCTATTCTAACGGCTTCAGAATTATTCTAACGGCTCCAAAATTATTCAGTACTTCAAAGCTATTGTAAAGACTACAAAGCTATTCCAGAGACTTCAAAGCTAGTCTAACGTCTCCAAAGTTAGTCTAACGTCTCCAAAGCTAGTCTAACGTCTCCAAAGCTAGTCTAACGTCTCCAAAGCTAGTCTAACGTCTCCAAAGCTAGTCTAACGTCTCCAAAGCTAGTCTAACGTCTCCAAAGCTAGTCTAACGTCTCCAAAGCTAGTCTAACGTCTCCAAAGCTAGTTCCAAAGACTCCAAATCAATTCTAACGGCTCCAAAGCTATTCCAACTACTTGAAAGCAATTTTAACTACTCCAAAGCAGTTCCAACGACTCCAAATCAATTCTAACGACTCCAAAGCTATTCCAGCGACTCCATAGCTATTACAGCGACTCCAAAGCCATTCTAACGACTCCAAAGCCATTTTAACGACTCCGAAGCCATTCTAACGACTCCAAAGCTATTCTAACGACCCCAAAGCTATTGTAGCGACTCCAAAGCTATTCTGGCGACTCCAAAGCTATTCTAGCGACTCCAAAGCCATTCTATAGACCATAATCACACTAACGGCCCCAAAGCTATTGTAACGACTCCAAAGCTATTGTAACGACTCCAAAGCTATTCTAACAACTCCAAAGAGATTGTAACAACTCCAAAGCGATTGTAGCTACTCCAAAGCTGTTTTAACGACTCCAAAGCTGTTTTAACGACTCCAAAGCTATTCCAACGACTCCAAAGCTATTCCAACGACTCCAAAACCATTTTAGCAACTCCAAACTCTACTAATTTTAATAAAAACTTTTACTAATAAAAGTCATAATTTTTCAGTCTATCTTCAATGAACAAAACATAATATTTTAGTTTATTTCCCCAGCCTCCACTAAAGTTGCATCTAGCAAACAATGTATTATAAATTGCATGTTGAAGATTTACCGATCGATTTCCTCGTAAAATGTCGCATAAAGCTCTTTTATATATCGAGAGATGACAATATTATCGCGCAACCCAATCGATAATAATCGTCTCTGGGATAAACGACCAAGAAGACAACGACGACGACCTAGAATACTGTGGAGACGGCGGTGGAGGAAATTAGTTCGGGTAAATGTTTATGCGGTACAAAGATGCACTGGGAAATATACCGAAGAATTTAGTAAAAATGGATTTATGGTCTTTACAATTTAAATTTTATCTCAAATTCCATCTCCAGCCTTATTTAGCAATTCTGTAATATTTCCTCGGTGACTGATGAATCTTGCGGTTCGTCCAGGAAGGAGTCGGACTCGCCTTCGAACCAAAACCGAGCCTTCTGCTCCGTTTGTACAGAAAGTGTCATTTATCATCCAGAATTTATATCTAGGAGAAGAGGAACAATATTGTGTAGAGTAAGAGGACTAGAATGGGGACATGGGTGTGTATATATGTATGTGTTTATGTGCTTTAGGCTATTAATTAACAAATACTTTAATGAAAATTGTGTAGAGTACAAACGGTGGAGCGACAGTTTGGTGGTGCAGTTAAATATATGGGTGAAGGGAAATTGTTTACGGATTTTTGTCTAGTCTAGTCTAGTGTTTTGTTGAAATGTAAAAAATTGTTTTATGATGTAATTATTTTTACTTAAATGCCATCTTGTACAGTAGCAAATAAGGTTTACTTCAATCGCGTATAAAACTTACGCGTACTAATTTTTTTAAACATTTTTTTACCCTCTGGCAAATATTTCCCTAACTGTAATGTAAAAATTGTTCACAAATGGTAATTTGCCTGTCATTCATGTTCGAACGTTTTAATTGCATGTTTGCATTTGCAACACGAGAATCATAATTCTCTTCTTGATAATTTATTTTTATGTCATTTTTAGTCATGAAAATGAAATATATAATTTGTAAATAAATACTCAGTTCATACACGATAATGTAATTATAGGTAGTGTTTAAAAAAATTAGCGACTGTGAACAAGATATCAAAAAAATACACATTTATTTATTTCACTATCCAAAGTTTTCTTACAGTCCTCTCCTGTACAATTGCATAATTACAAAGCGTAGAATAATATAGTCGCACAAAAAAATGCATTTTTCTATAAACAACCCTTCCTGCATTCAGCCGGGTGCCGTACTAACATTATAACGCTAATTACATTTATTTAGAGTATAGGGGAGGATGGTGTAGCGAAATAATTAGTATAAAATAAAAGGCGATAGATTAAAATCAGAGCTGCTTGCTTACTGCAAACGATATGGTCGAAAAAATATAAATAAATCGTAAAGTAATTAAGTCTTCCTGCTGTTCTTGCAGCAGATGGAGGAGTAATGTGGAGCAGGCAGTGGTGGTGAAAGTTTGGTACAAGGATATAACAGTGTTTGTCAATTGTTTGTTAATTGGAGAGGATCAAATCTTAGAAGTTTCTAGAAATTTACTTTGTAGCTCTAAAGTTGAGGGGTTGCTAGGTTGGCTCTGGCACTGCTAGAATATTTTCGGAGTTGCGAGTATACCTCTGGAGTTAACAAAAAGGTTTGAAGTTGCCAGGAAGGGTGTGGAGTTGCCAGAAAGGCTATGGAGTTTCCTGGAAGGCTATGGAGTTTCCTGGAAGGCTATGGAGTTGCCTGGAAGGCTATGGAGTTGCCTGGAAGATCATGTAGTTGCCAGGAAGATTATGTAGTTGCCAGGAAGATTATGGGGTTTTCAGAACACCTGTGGAGTTGCCAGAAAGGCTATGGAGTTTCCTGGAAGGCTATGGAGTTGCCTGGAAGATCATGTAGTTGCCAGGAAGATTATGTAGTTGCCAGGAACATTATGGAGTTGCTAGGAAGATTATGTAGTTGCCAGGGAGATTATGTAGTTGCCAGGAAGATTATGGGGTTTCCAGAACACCTGTGGAGTTTCCAGGAAGGCTATGGAGTTTCCAGGAAGGCTATGGAGTTTCCAGGATGACTGTGGAGTTTCCAGGATGACTGTGGAGTTTCCAGGATGACTGTGGAGTTTCCAGGATGACTGTGGAGTTTCCAGGATGACTGTGGAGTTTCCAGGATGACTGTGGAGTTTCCAGGATGACTGTGGAGTTTCCAGGATGACTGTGGAGTTTCCAGGATGACTGTGGAGTTTCCAGGATGACTGTGGAGTTTCCAGGATGACTGTGGAGTTTCCAGGATGACTGTGGAGTTTCCAGGATGACTGTGGAGTTTCCAGGATGACTGTGGAGCTTCCAGGATGACTGTGGAGCTTCCAGGATGACTGTGGAGTTTCCAGGATGACTGTGGAGTTTCCAGGACGAGTATGGAGCCTCCAGGACGAGTATGGAGCCTCCAGGACGAGTATGGAGCCTCCAGGACGAGTATGGAGCCTCCAGGACGACTATGGAGCCTCCAGGACGACTATGGAGCCTCCAGGACGACTATGGAGCCTCCAGTATGACTATGGAGCTTCCAGTATGACTATGGAGCTTCCAGTATGACTATGGAGCTTCCAGTATGACTATGGAGCCTCCAGTATGACTATGGAGCTTCCAGTATGACTATGGAGCCTCCAGTATGACTATGGAGCCTCCAGGATGACTATGGAGCCTTCGGGATAACTTTCATAAATTGAACTACTTTGAAGTTAAATAAAAAAAAAATCATTTTAAAGTATTTTAGAATCATCACAAGTCTTCTACTCTAAATAATATAAAAACCCATATTTTTGCAATTCCAACAACGTGTTTAACGTAAAATAAAAATAATACATATTATTCTACATATTTTTTTATTATCCTGAATCCCACTCTGCACTTCAACAGCCCCATTAGCTTTATTATATTTTAATCGATAGAGAGAACCAGAGTTTAAAGCAGTTTTTACAGCGTTCGTATTTTTGCAAAACAGGGCGAACAAATGTATAAATAACAATTCTAGCACCGCCAACACCTCCACCGCCTCCACTTCAGCACTTCTAGCAACACTACGAGATTATAAAAAATATCCTACTCGGAAAAAATAAAACCGTAAAAAGTTCTCTGTTTAAATTTCATTTGCCGATTAGTATGTACAGGGTAATAAAATATAGTGGAGAGATAGGGAGGATATTTAATTTAAATTGCAGTTTCAGCATCGATAGTATGTCTTTTAATACCCTCAGTGTCTATTATCCTCTTCCACTATTTTCTAAAATTACAAATTCCTGTTAAACGCATAAATCGTCTCTTTATTAAACGCTCCTAGCCATTTCCCTTCGCTTCGAAATAAACATCTTCTTTATTTAATTAATTTATGCATGGACTCAAAACGCAAAAACGGTGGAGGCCGGTCGTTCTAAAGGAAACTAGGGGTGAGTGGAACTTTCAAGTGGAGAATGCAACGTTCACTACACTACACACAACAAACGCATTTTGCTCGTTAATTAAAAGTGTCTACAATTTCCATTTTAAATATCACCTGCAGGCGTGGGGTACGGTGGAGCAAGGTAATAGTATACTTGGGGTGTATATTGTAATTAAGGTAGTGAAATACAAGAGTAAGGTAATGAAATTGTATACAGATATATTTCTAAAATTTTACAAATACTTTTCTGCTTTGTATGTTTTTCCTGGCAAAAAATCACCCCATATGCATCCGGTGGAGATGACGCCTTGTACATTTCATGTCATTCTCATTAGCAGCACGAAAGCTTTTCAAGTGCAGCGTAAGTAGATTTTTCATTTGATGAAAAATGTGATTACGTGGATCTAGATGAATAAATTTTTATGTACAGGATTATTACAACACGGCGGAACGGAAAATGGAAAAATATGTGGAGTTTACAGAACAGGACAGCACAGTACAGTAGTCCTTTGCAAAGGGAATAAAAGTAAAAAAGATGGGTTCCAGTTGTTCTAAACACTAACTGAGAAAATATAAATTAATTTTTCTTTAAGAAAAATATTTTACTCTGTTCCTTGAAAATAATAAAACAAATTAAACATGTGCCGTGTACAAACTTAAGTTTGTTGATTAGAAATTATTTCTATATTATTCGTAGTTTCCTTAAATTTTTGAAGTTATTAAAATGAAAAACATTTTTTAGGCAAGACAGATATTACAGCAGTTCAAAGAATGAGACTGTGTCGCCAGCGAAAAAGTAAAATAAATACAAACAGTCAATGAATGCATGTTAATTTTAATTACATGAAGTTCTTTTAGCACAATTATTACATGATGAGCGAAGTTACAAAAACAATATTGGTTCAGGCATTGTTCAACATAATCCACTGTGTGAAATATTATAGAATTTATTAATCAGCAATTACTTCATTTTTCTAATGAATGTTCAAGTCCTGAATGATAATTACAATGACAAACCGATCATGTCATATTCGAAGTGTGACTTTAATTACATTATTTTTAAATATTATACATATTTTTAATGCTATTATAAATATATAATTTATAATTTATCATTATATAAATGTGTATAATGGTTGACACCACTACACTAGATTATCACATTTTTTTTCTGTTTACTATTTTTCCAAATTTTGAGAACGCCTCCACCGTGGCTAATGAATACAGATTTTCCTCTCATGATATGAAAATAGTACAAATGTATGGAATGGACTTGTACGGAGATGTAGCCGATTAAAAATGCAATAATAGTCGTACCAATGCGGATTTATTTTCATAAAACCTGCTTTGTATCGTAATATATATATATATATATATATATATATATATATATATATATATATATGTGTGTGTGTGTGTATGTATGTATAATATTTTATGCAATATATTATTTTGGGTCAAAACAACAAAACAAAATAAATAGCATTACGATCCGGTGGATGCACGGTGGAGGATTACGAAAGGACGTTCGTTTGCCTAGAACAGATGCAACAATATTCCTGGTGCAGAAAATTCTATATTGAACTATATTTGTTTCTATATAAATATATATATATATATAGATTTTAATAGCTACCGATCTATCCACCAATCTACAAGATCCCTCCAAACTCTCCACCGTATTCCGACACTTGTCTACATATTACATAACGTTTTATACAATTTCGTAGCGCGGAATTCAAAACGAGTCAAGAACCTCTCTGTGTAATATGAAGAGAAAGAAATGCCGTTAGTGTTTTACGTGTTATGAAAAACTTAAATGCATTCTGAACGACCTCTTTTCTCCACCGTAGACATTCGAGTTAAACGATTCAGGCAATCGCGGATTTTGTTGTAAGTGAAATTTGGGTCGCAAAGTTGAAAAAATAATGGATATTTATAGTTGAGATGAAGTTTGTATGTGCGAGTTGTTTTTTGTTTTTTTTGTTGACGTTTTTTTATAAATATGTCACCGATTTCTGATTTCTAATAATTGTTTTTGGTGAACAACGGTTTTATTTTTACGGTGGCGCTCAATGTATTAAAAAGATGAATTAGAAAAGAAGCTAGAATAACTTTTGAGTCTTACTATTATGTTCCTCCACGTTGTTATTGGCGAACTTTAATATCAGCTATAATATCTTTCTGTTTGTCTTCGGGTCTTTCAAGTTTGAGTTGTGAGTTGTATGAGTTGTTTGAGTTTGAAATTGTGAGTTTGACGTAGTTGTCTACATTTGATCAGCACCTGTTTCTGCATTGCGCATAAATGCAAAATGTCAAGGGTTGATTCTTATAAAACTTTCTTTTTTTAGACAATGGTGGAGCATGGAAGTTGATGTACAATTTACGTTGTCAAAATATAATCATGTACGTCAATACAAGTGAAATAGTGTTTGAATCATTCTAATCGGACGTTCCGTTCTCTCAAAAACTGCTTGAACATTTTGCTATGTATCTCCAGAACGGCCAGACCTGCTTTTGCCAGAAACTAATCGACACGTTTCCACATTAATATAAATCCAACTATCACATTTTCTTGATTCTTTCTACCAAAGATCAGTTATTTTTTAACTTCACGTAGGGTAAGTTATAGTAATCGTAAAAAAATCGAAAATGAAAATTTTGATATATTTTTAAGTTTCAGAAGTTTCTGAATATTTTGGCATATCTTAGAAAAAATGGATGTATGTGTGTGTGTGTGTGTATGTGTGTGTGTTCGGATACGAATTTTCGTCGACGATTTTGGGAACACGGAGGAAGCGATTTGAATAATTCAAAAAACTTTCGATTTGTATTGATAAGGAGACGTGCTGATTAGTTTTTCGCAAAGGCAGGTCTAGCCGTTCCGAAGATATGGGACAAAAATTGCCAAAAACGGTACCTCAGTTTTTTAGAGAACGGAGCGTCCGATTTTAATAATTCAAAAAACATTTTACTTGTATTAACAAGATGAAGAACTGATTTTCATAAAGGCAGGTCTGGTGGTTTTGGAGATCTAGTAAAAAAAGAAAAAAGGCCATCTGGCGGTTAAAAATGATCATTAGACATATGCACATCAAATTATCAGATATTTTATAGAGATTTTAACAATAAGTATAAATTTTGTTTACATTCCTATGGGTTTCGTACCATAATGCTTATCCGTTAGACGACGGTACGGCGCTTACGCGCTTCTATAATTCGTCTCTATGCAGTTAAAGCAGTATGATTGCTATGAAAAGTTCAGATATTCCAAAATATGCCAAAATATCAAAAATCTTATTTTTTCGAAGTAATTTTTTTTTCAAAAATGTTAATCGTTTTTAAAAAAATAATAATTTTTGGTCCGGGAAGTTCCAGCAATTTGCCTTAAGGCACGATGCCTTAATTGCCTTAAGACAGAATTCCACTTACAGCTAGTTTACGTTGTCACAATGTAATCAAATCTTTATTTTGTCAATACAAGTAAAATGTTGTTTGAATCATTCTAATCAGATGCTCCGTTCTCTCAAAAACTGCTTGAACATGTTGCTTTGTATCTGCAAAACAACTGGACCTGTCTTGAGTAAAAACTAATGGAGACCTTGATATCTCCATCAAATTTTCAAGAGGTAGGTGAAGTAGGAAATACTATCAATATATTACAAATTGTCCTTTATCATTTCCCCCAGCTACCTCTCTATTTGATCTCTCCACCCAGGATCAGTTGTCTCCATCCACTGCCTCCGGTGGAGCAGGCAGATCAACGTGCTCTGAATCCGAAACTGAACTAGTCCACTTTGCGCGAGATATCTGTACTGCAAAAGGGATATATTTATATACATATATTCTCCTCTCATACGGTGGAGAGGAGTGAAAGGCTGGCTAAAAGGGGCAATTGGCTATGTCTGTGTATAGATTCTGTCAGGATTGCGAAAATAGTTTAATGTTATGATGCTATTGTAGCTGCAATAACGCTGGGAGTAAATAGTATCAAATATTCCCTCTTTCTGGATGCAATTGTAAATGAAAGAGTAGTGGGGCACATGGCATCTTTCGAGAAATTATAAACGTTTTCAAATATATTATTACAAATACTGTAATTCTCATTATTTTTGCATTATATTATTATA